TTACGTAATTCTAAGGTCCTGTATTAAAGTGTCAGCTTGAAATGTGTAGGCGGGCTGTGTTAAGTTCTGTAACTGATTGATAGTTTGCAAGTAATGTTGCGAGTTCACTAGGACACAAAACCATTGATGCTGTTGCAACAAATACAATGGAATGAAAATGATTGCATATAGAACAGCTGCCAAGTCTTTGATCACATTCTTGCTCATGAACTTCGATTGTACTCACTAGCATAAGCCTCTCACAATAGTAACATCGAGTAGAGGGATATGCACACTGGTTTGTTTGATGCACCTCTAATGTGTCATAAGAAAGTACAGCATTACAGCCGTATTGTACACTTTGACATCGAATCTACGGTGGACAACGCTTATCCTCATACTGTTCACATCCATATGGACAGCTCGTATTTACCTGGAGCCACTTTGAAATGCAGGCTTCGCAGCATAAATTCTGGTATAATCCACAGGAGCATGATTGCCATAATAAACACGTACAGATAGAACAGAAGAATTCTCGGAGCACAATTTCACCGTTTCAAATACGTTCGTAGTCAATACCGCCTATAGGTATAGTCACTCTTAATCTAGTTATTGCTTGGCTAACGACTTGTTCACCAATATCGACCGTCGGTATCAGTCCGTTGAAATACTCTGATTTTGAATATATCGATATTTTGCTTCTTCCAAAGAAATATGCACAGATGTAATGATGGCTGAAGTCACTTTCTCTATCGAGATACATATCGTTTTTTCTTCTTACAACTTAGGCCTGTACAATGACATAAATGGATTTTTCTTTCGTAAGGGTTATGTGTGATTCAACTGTGCCCTGATATTTGCGTCTCTCGACACTAGCTAGATCGAAATGAATCACATTGTATGGAAAATAGAGACGTACAATGAAGAGTTCCCTAATTTCCGGACAAATGCAATGTTGGTCTAGCTAGAAAGTTGCTGAAATATATAGAGAATCTCTTTTTGAAAGTTTTATAAAGAGATTTTCGTAAACTAAATTTGAATAGAATTTATGATTAGCTCTTAAATCCAAAATATAAAAAACATATTATATATTGTATGATTTGAATTGACTATTTCGATACATTTTTATAACAGATGAATTTCTCTTTAAATATTAAGTTTTATTTTGCTGTTGAAACTTCAGTCAATTACTTAAACAAAAAGCAAACACTAGAACACTAAAATTAAAAGAAGAAATCATTTGCGGTTTTTTTTTCTGTTGATTAATTGTCAAGCGTCGATATTATATCATAAAAAAGCATATCAATAAATATATATATATAGGTATGTCATAATATTTTTCTTGAAACTAACTATATAACAAATGAATAAAGAAGAAAATTTTTTAGAATAGAACTACTTGATTATCAGGCCAGAATAGAAACAAAACGAAAAATATCACATAAATTCACCAGATTTTATCTTATTCTGAACTGTTAATACAACCAAGAAAATAAATAAAGCAAGCACACAATAAGTTATCCATGAATAAACCATCACAATAGAGACAAACAAAAAAAAAACAAAAGAAAGAAAATAAATATTAGCCTAAACAAGACTACAACAAACATAAAGCGCTTAATAGACTATAAACCATTGTATAATTGATTTTTCGATTCTTGATGTAATAAAGTTTTAATAGCTAAAAAAACAAAACAATCTTTCGTACAATAATAAGAAAAATCTTTCAATAAATTACCTTCACATTGTTCATCATTGAATTCACCTTTAGGAAAATCAACATCAATTGTAACATAAAGATCACCAATAATATTATTCTGATCATGTTGTGGTATACCTTCACCTTTTTTCTTTATTCGAGCACCAGGCCAAGTTATTTTTTCACGTTTAATTGTTACCTAAAAGAAGTATCGAACAATTATTTCACCATACAATATAGACATTCACCTAATCCAAACTCTAGCTCGATATTCAGGACGAACAATTCCGTATTTGAAAACTATCCAATCAGCTCAGACAGTATCGGATATTTGTTTAAGCATTTCTTGGGGTATATGGACAAACATGAAAGTACTCTAAACTTCAGTTGAGAATTCAAGTTCAATTATTTCTGAGCCATATTGACCTTTTATGAAATACGATCTAAAAGAAGTGTTGAACTAGTCCTTAGCAATGTCTTTCCTCCATCACCGACTGTATATAAATGACATTTCGTTATAATTTTCTTATTATGTTTCTGGAGTATCAAATAAAAGGATGGTGAAGAAATGTATCTCAAAATAGATAGAATAAACCAATTTTCTTGTGATTAGCAACAGCAACTACATCGTGTTTCACATTTTAATCCCACAAGGATTATGCTAACAGCTTATTTTCGGATGCCTACAAACCTTCGATTTTTGACTCATTTATCCCACTGAATATGTATCTACGGTAGTTAAACTTGAAATTCTTTTATATGGATTATTTCTGTATCCTTTTATTAATTAACTGAAAATGATCGCAGTCAAGATTAATTCCTAATGTTCGGATTCGATGCATGCCCTAGTTTCTTACATTATGTCCATCAAGATGAGGAAATGATACATCAAAACCATTAAGTGCATCTTGTAGAGTTATTGTTAAATTTGTGTATAAATCATTATTTTTACGTTCGAATCTTGAGTGTCTATTAAAAACACAAAAAAGAAAAACAAAATGTTTAAATTAAGAAACAAATAAGAGATTCATATTTACTTTTGAATACGAATAATAAATTTCAAATCACCTGGTTCACCTTCAATATGAGGTTCTCCTAAATTAATATGAAACTTTTTTTTTCACAATTGAATAAAAAAAATCTAGTAGTTTTGTTAGAAAATCAACCTTCAGCAATAAATGGTATTTGATATCCATCGGCTACACCTGCTTCTACTTCAATTTCTAATACCATTTCTTCTGTAACAAATCTTTAAAAGAATAGAATAATAAATTCTTAAATTCATTTGTTTCAATCAAAATTTTTCTTTACTTTATATTCGGACATTCATCGCATACTTGTTCTTGCATCATTTGAAACTATTAAAAACAAAAGTCATTCTCAATAAACATTCAATTCTGCTGTAGAGATAAAGTAAACAGTTCGATATTTACGTAGTAAATATTACAAGAACATAACATATATTTATGTAATGTATGCATAACTTCCTCAATAATATATTCTTATTCCCTAACATCTGTGACGAAAATAGAATCTTTTATCTTATTATATTGCTTTTTTGTACTGCATAACCTTTTCATATCGTACATATGATTTATCTCAATTACGTATACATGAAGTATTCTTATCATTGATATTTTTTGTAAGAGAAATTTTTTTCGTAAATCTTACTCGTCCAGGACCCATTTGAGTTGTTCGCATTTCCATTCGACAATTACATTTTCGTGAACCAGCCGTTTGTTTTGCTACTGGTTTAGCTCGAACAACCTAAATAATTGATTTTAGAATGTAAAATAAAATTAAGATCCTCCAAAAAAAAGTCAATTGTGGTCAAATTTATCCACTTTTGTGTGATAAGATTTAAGGATATTATACAGGCTTTTCTGAATTCTCACACAGAAGAAAATAACTTTTTTTTATCTGAAAACTTTTGATTTTTACGTTTCTGTGTGTCCAAGATTTCTCTGCCATTTTAAACTCTAGAAACCTGAGTTGAATTTTTCAATTTCTCCATTAATGTTTATAGAAAAAAACTAATTGTTCGGGATCTACACTCCCTGGATTTCTAGCATTTGAAATTGTGGAGAAATTTGGGACGCACGAAAACCTAGATTTTGATCTATATACTGGAAATTTCATCAAGATTGGATGCTTGAAAAAAACAAGTTTCTTTGTTGAGAGGGACTCTTTCTTAAAAATATTCTTACTTCAATAAAATTTCCATTATAAACTTCTTCAAGTGTGACATATAAATCCACAACTAAATCTCCACCACGTGGTACTTGATTATGTCCATCATCTCTCGAACCACCAAAATGAAAAAAATCACCAAAAAAACTATAGATAGGAAAAAAGAGACCAAGAACTTAGTATTTATCTATGTAAATAAAATTTACCTTGAAAATGGATCATGAAATGAATCATCACCACCTTGTCGTTTTAAACCGTCTTCACCATGTTTATCATAAATTTTACGTTTGTCAGAATCAGATAATGCCTAAGTATTTTAAGAAAAAAAAAAGAATCAAATAAATTATTTTCAAATATAAAATAATTTTTACTTCATAAGCAGCTCCTAAATCTTGAAAACGTTCTTGTGCTTTTGGATCATTATTATTTTTATCCGGATGTAATTCTTTTGCTAATTTACGATAAGATTTTTTTATTTGATTTAATGTTGCCGTTCTTGGCAAATTTAATATTTTATAAAAATCACGCCTATCAAAAGATAAAAAAGAAAAAACAAGCCAATACTCATTTTATTCGAAAACAAAAAAAAAAGCATTTTCTATTACAAACCCAGCTGATATAACATCTGCTATATATATCAATAAGAATAAAATCAATAAACAAGTAATAGAATGAATTTTCATCTAAAATATTTTTTTTAAAGAAATTCATTGCTTTTGATGTTGTTAAATACTTTTTTTCTTTGGTTAAACACATAAGAAAGAAAAGTTTGTTTGAAAAATGCCTTTTTTTTTCATGTTTGATTCTCAATGTGTACAATGGTAATCCTAATTTAAAGAAGATAAGAAAAGAAAAACGCGACGAAGGAAAAAAAAGAAGAAACACGGAAGACAGTAAAATGTGTGATTGCGAGCACGTATAACAGCACCGGGTGTAGCTCAGAGCAAATAAAGAACAAAAAGGTACAAGGGATCATTTGTTTTTTTTTCACAAATGTTAAATGCTCAATAGACAAATATTCAACATTGAATCAGAATAGAAAAAAAAAAGGAGAAGCAGAAATCCAAAAAAAAAAAAAAAAGAAAGAAAGACTACATGCATAAAACACATGAAACATTTTTTTTTAAAGAAATCAAAATCTGCGATCATCGTTAAAATGCGTGATTATTTTATGGGCATGTTCAAACATTAAATCTCGATGTTGTTGTTTATTAATAGAAGGCTTTTCAAGAAGTTTTAAACGATAATTAAAATCATCCATACGACGATCAAAATCATTCAAACGACTATTTATTAGATCTAATTGATAAAGGATATTATCATATTGTTTATTATTTGGTTTTTGTTGAATTTCGGTTAATGATGATGATGGGGAAAATTTTGAACGAATAAATTTCACATTGCTCTAAATCAAAAAAAAAATACAATATTAATTTCTATAAATTATTTAAAAAATATATATATGTTAAAATAAGATATTAGTAGAAAGTGATATATATGTTGTGTTTCAAAGGGATAGTATTATAGGTTAAAAGAAAAAAGAGAGGTAGTCATGAGAAGTCAAAATATTAATTCCTAAAAATCTCTCAAGAACACAATATAAACATGCATACATGCAAATAAAAACAACTAATAAACAACATATAACGATAAAGCAAAACAATAATTATCTTACTGAATTTGAAAGGTAATATTAAATATTCATGTATATATTTTTGTATGTGTATGCACGTAGTTAAATAAATTGAAAAATAAATAAATGAGAATAGAGAAAAGAAAAAAAAAGACAGATAAAGAAGGAGAAAGAAAAAGAAAGAACATATTTGTTATTTGAATTATAAAATATTAATCATCAAGATCATCAACTGGTGCTTCATATTGTGATAAACGTTCTTCTAATGTTTTAATACGTCGTTCATGTCCTTTAACAATTATTTTCACTCGACGCATTTCTTCAACAAGTTTATCGAGAAATTCATTATCGACATGCTAAAATCAAAGTCTCATAATAATAATGAAAAATACGAAAAAAAAAAATAAAAAGTTTTAATTCATTTTTCTCTCTAAAATATTCATAGTAAATCAATAAGACAACTATATAAAGATATACCTGTCCATGTTGAACATTACCACCACCACCATTATTAGCATTTGTTTGTGTTGTATTCTGTGGTGATGTTGGTGAAGGTTTTTGACTTGTTGATTTACCAAAAACAACTTCTTGTTTTTGTTGTGCTCCAGGACCAAGAGTTAATCCACCACTACTTGTATTTGCTTGAGATTTTACACCCGAATGAAGATCACGAATAGATACCTAATAAGAAAAATTTCAAAACATATATATATATATATAACATATAATTTGATTTAACTTACTAATCGAGGATTAGCATCTTTACCCTCAATCCATTCATCAGCTGTTACAGCATGTTCTTCAGCTGCTGTATCAGGATAAAGATCTTCTTGAAAAAGTTCAGACTAAATAAAAATAGAAATTATCTTTCAATGTCTTCAATAAAATTTTAAAAAAGACATACTTTTCGTGGTACAGTGAAAGAAATTACTTCACAAAGGCCACTATTGAGCAATTTATAAAACCTAACAAAAATATATATATATATATATATATATCTATTAGATGATATATATCAAATGTATACCGAGCTATTTCACATGTTGCAATATTCAATCCACGTTTAGGCATAACACCCATACCACGTTGAGGATCTGATGATGAGTATGTATTAATATAATGTATATAAGGTGCTTCTGGTGTATATTCAAAATATCGAATAGTTGAATCACCCTAAAATGTTTTTTTTTTCTTTTACTATTATATAAATTTAAATTTTGTTTTTTTTTTCTCTACTTTTCCACATAGAAAGATTAAACCAGTATCTTCATCATAAAATGGAAATAGAATACCATTCGATGAATCAAGTTCTTCCATTGTTAAATGAATACCCAAATTATCCTTTTCAATAAAAAAAAAAAAAAACGAATCAATAAATTTTTTTGCAATTTTATTATTCTATAAAAACCTGATCCCAGAGAGCGTATTGTCTTTCTGACATTCTCGAAAATCCAGTAGAAAATATCCGACCATCACGTAAATAAATAGCTCTTGCAGGTTTAGCTCCTTGATGACCCATTCCAGACTAGAAATAAAATATTGGCGTTTTTTTTTTTTTGCTTTTTGTTTTCATTATCTTAACCTTAATAACATGACCATTACGTGGATTAATAATACGAAATATTTTATCTTTACATGATGTAACAATACGTGAACCATTATGATTCCATGAAACACTTAAAATAACCTCTGGATGACACTCAATCGTAGTTAAAATCATTGATTTACCAACATTCCATATAAAAATTTTCATATCACCACCTAGAAATAACATTTTTCTAAACTAAAACAAAAAAACAAAAAAAAAAAAAATTCTACCAGCACTAAGTAAAACATTCAATGCACTTGGATGCCAAACTACTTGTCCAACACGTCGTTGATGTGCAACAAGATCAACAGCTGGTTGTGTTAAATTACTTGATAAACCACCATCAGGTATTTGCCAAATTTTAACTGTACAATCTTCTGAACCACTTGCTATAACATTATCATTATGTGGACACCAAGCTAAATCAAGTACGGCTGCTTTATGTCCTGTAACTAATGGTACATCACGATCAATACGTCCAATTTTATCTAATGGTAAAGCAAGAAATGCACCACCACCAGCTGATTCAGTTATAATAGCAAGAAATTTTGGATTAACTGAACAAAATGTTGAATCCCATGCACTTTTTGTTATACGAATATTGTCATAACAATCTTGTTTTTTAGCTGCTTGACCAAAAACATGTCTTGAATATAAAAAAAGTATACAGTTTTTCTTTTATTAAAATTCGAAGACTGAAAAACAAAAAAACACTTAGGTCAACTTACCGAAATTTGCTATTACGAACAACTCGAGCCATGAATAATATGAAATAATATAAACGTGTTACTTTATGTCGAGATACAGTCTGTGAAACGACGACAAGAACAACAACAACAACCTGAAATAAACATGCAGTTATCAGTTCCACTATTGCTTCATATTCTCTCGTTTTTTTCTTCTTATTCTTCTTTCTATCCTCTTCCACACTATATCCTAGCACAGTATGAAAGCAGTTGTTGATGGGAATTCTTATGATAAATCGACGCATTTATCGAGCAAGCAATTGTTGCGACATCTTGACTTAAAAACAAACTAAATGGCATAGATTATCTCTGTTTCCGTATATAGTAATGAATATGACAGACACGAAAGAAAGAGAAAAAAAGAGAACTGTCATATACTATATCGCAATTCTTTAATGCCCTGGTACCTGTCCCTTTCCGTCATGTACAAAAAAAAATTAAATAGAACAAAAAACAGAACCAAGGAAATCATTAATATACTTCTCGCATAAAACCGATACCTTCTCTTGCATAGTTATATCAATCAACATAAACGCATACATGAAAGAATAAAAGTGGTTTTTTTTTACAACATCTCATATAATCATTAGTATTCGTATCATGTTATAGAAGAAAATATAAATTTACCCGAAAAAAAAGAAAGTAAATATAAACAAATACGTTAACTGTTGTTATAAATCATGATGTTGATGTTAATATCTAAAATAGAATTTAAAATGTTCAATTCTTTTTTTTTTTTGTTTATCGAAAAGGTCGATTGAACTGGTTAGAGAAAGAAGAAAGTGAGTGTCCGTTGTTGGTGATTAAATGAAGACAAAAAAAACGTTGTGATTTTTCATTGGTCATTGATTTCCATTGTATGCTTCCATCTATCTATTTTATTTAGTTAAATATTTAAAAAATAACCTATCATATTAAATTAAATTAAACTTTTATTTATTAATAATCTCTAATTGATATTTAAGAAAAGTATTTTTTATTTTAAAAATTTTATTGGATATATTTCATAAACCAATAGAAATAAAGAATAAAAAACAAAAATATTAGCTTGTTGTTTAGAATACATTATTTTTGCTACAATAAAAATAAAAGTAAAAAAAGATCTTGCAATAATATGCGTTCATCTATTACTATATTTTTTGTTTTATTCAATATTCTTTTATGTTTTGTATGGTCAGCAGCAAAAAAACTAAAAGATGAAGATTTTTCTGAATTTGATGATTTTGATGAAGATGAATTTATTGTTGGTATGAGATATAAAATTTAATTTAGAAAGAAATTCTCACTCTCTCTCTCTATATATATATGGATTTTAGAAACTCCATCTCCGTCCAGTGCTAGTCCATTACCATCTAAAACACAATCAAATCAACCAGATCTAACAAATAATGATGGACCATCTCAATCATCATCAAGTAAAACAATAGAACAAAAAAATAATGATGACGTTACTATTGATGACGATGATGATCTTATGTTTGATGAAGAAGAATTTGAAGCGGTAAAAAATTTTTTCTAAGTGTAAATAATAGAGAAAATATTAGATTGATTTTGGTTTATTTCATCGATTAAATTAGATTGATAATATAATGTCTCAAAGATAAAGATTAAAGGTCAATTTTGATGATGTAATCTTCTTTTTTTTTGTCCTCACTGTGAGTTCAAAGAAAAAGGCAAAGTTTTAATTATGAATTTTGCCATGTGTAAATATGATCTTTTTCGCTTTCGCGTTTCGGAAAATCTCGAATCGCAAACATATAATAAGTAATATTCAAAACTTAGGCTACTAGATTATGGAAACTGTCTATAGAAACATATCAACAGATCATCTGAGATTTGATGCAAAAAAAAAAAATTAGTGTCTGAAACTAATCAAATTAATGTCTAGAATTTCAACACTGTTTCATAATCATATATATCTTCGACATCGTTAATAAGAATAAGAAAGAAAAACATTTTGTCAATGGCAATGAATCTATAATTTGTATTCTCTTCTGGTTTTTACCTAAGATAATCTTGTCGGAACCAAGACCCATACTACTTTTTATAGTTGTATAAAACTTGCGTTGGATTTCATATCAGGATGTTTCATAGACCTTGAGTACTCATGCCAATCTTTTAAACGACATTTTATTGGATAATATGAGAATGCCAAGATAAATTATTTGCAAACGATTAACATAATTTATTTTGTAAATTATTGACCAATTCTACATAATAAAAAATAGCATAGTAAAAATCAATCATTATTTATTTTATTGGATGCCCATCATGATCAATTTGTTACATGTTCAGACGAGATCTGCACTGAATTGGAATAGATTGTATGGTGAATTATTTAATAATTAAGTTTTATCTCGAAAATATTATGCTAAATTTTTCTGACGTATTGTAAAAGAAAAAAAATCTAATGTTTGCATATCATTCATACTTATAATTAGAATTTATCTTTGAGAAACAAGAATTCTTTTTTTTTTTTTCTATGAAAATTTTAATATTACTTTTTATTTAGTCTGATTCATTTGGATCTTCATCATCATCTTCAATACCAGATCTTAAAATTACTGATGTTCCTCATAATTTAACAGGCAATCGTTGGGAAGCATATCATTGTGAAGCAATAATGATTATTGTCTTATTAATTTATTTAATAAATTTTCTTATTGGTCGTTCAAAAAATTCTCGTCTTGCAACAATTATTTATAATTCACAACATGATTTACTTGAAAGAAATTTTTCTCTTGTTGGTGATAATGGTCAAACACGTAATATACAATCAACAGATGAACAAATAAATAATGATATTATATCAAATAATATGCATAAAGAATCAGAAAGTTTATATATACTTTGGTGTAGTGGTAGAATATCAATTGAAAGTATGCTTATTGAAATACGTTTTATAAAACGACAATGTTTATTTAATTCATTGGCTGCATTAATTAAATCAATAAATGATATGATTATTTATACAATTGATTATACTAAAGATGATATAGAAACATTTGTATTTTGTTTAGCAAAAAAACGTTCAGCTGTTAAATTACATCGTGATATGAATGATCTAAGTCAATTTTGTTCAGAACGAAAAAATGCTGACAAACGTGGTTTAAATGGAAATTATCAAATATTAAGTGAAATTGGTGAAGTATCAAGTTCTATTATTGATAATCGTGTAGTAGATTTTATTGATAAGTAAGAATGAATTTTTTTTAAAACTTTTAATTGAATAAATTCTTCAATTTCTTTGTTTTTTTTGTTCTTTGACATATTTAATATATTTTCTTTAGATTTCCTGATGCACTTGAATATATTCATATTAGTGATCAATATACAGGAATGAAAGTACAAAATGATAATCAACAATCATCATCTAATTCATCATTAAATAATACTAATATTACATCAAATACTAGTAATGCAACACAACAACAAGATGCATTAAATTTAAGTGAACGTTCTGTTCGTCGTATATTAATTATTGCATTTAATTTAATTGCATTTGATGATCGTTCATTACAAGTTACAACAGAAAGTATTAGTAGTGATTATTTACGTTTTGTATTATATTTAGCTGATCGTATTAATTCATATCGTTTTACATCAAAAGAATCAAAAACTAAAGCAATTAAAAATCGTCAACGTATTGAAGAACAATTTTTAAAAAATATTTATCAACAACGACAAGAACAAGCACAACAAAGACGTGAAGAAAAACGTCGTGCTGAAAAAGAAAAAATTATGCAATCTGATGATCCAGAAAAACAACGTAAATGGGAAGAAAAAGAACATAAACGTGAAATGAAACGACGACAACCAAAAATGAAACAAATGAAAATTAAAGCCATGTAATAAATAGATAAACAATATCAAAATTAATTTTATCTTTTTAAGCAATACTCATTACTTTTTATTGTCATCCTTTCCGTCTTGTATTTTGTTGTTTTGTAATTGAATCTCCATGTTTTTTTTTTTATTGTATATGATGTGAAACAATCATCTAAAAAAAAGTCAGTTTAGTGTTATCCTTATTTATGTTTATAAATGATTTCCAGCAAAAAATTGAGTAATTGATGCTTGTGATAATGAATTGTACCAATGCAAAAAAAAAAGAGACTTAGAGATGAAGTAAAAAATTCTTGTTATTTCGTTTTTTGTTAGTTGAATCTAGCACTTATTTATATTATTTTCATAAGAGATTAGAGTTCAAGATATTTTCAACTTGCATCCGATCCGAAAATCTTTATCGTTTATTTATACTAGATTAACTATTTTCTTCCAATATGATTATTCAAGAAAAACTAAAAGTACAGAATATATCCATAAAAATGGCATCTAGAGATTCGCATTAAGTCTAACGGGATTTCAAAATTGATTACTCTTGCATAAAGTATTAGCAAAACTCGTCAGAATTTTCTATGAATACATGATTTAAAAGTGATGATTCGGATGATGACTTCTATATCGTATTGATGGACATGTTTTGAAACAAAAAATAGAAAGTAGAACATTTGTTAATATTTATATTCTCGGGGCATCGAGTGTTATTGTTTAACATTTTTGTAAAGTTTAATGAAAAATATAGAACAATAGAATTGTCATTTCTTAGAATTATTCGAGGAAATAGAATGTAGGATTTTACAATTAATTTATGCAA